AGGGGTTTGTGCGGGGAGAAGGGTACAACAATGAATGAATGGAATCCCAAAATCTCTGTAGATGTTCACTGAAATGAAAAATAAACAACCTAAATTTAAAAAAAAAAGAAAGAAAAAATTTGTGTTTGCATAGTAATTACTGACCAGACTACGTAGATTTTTAAGACAAGACCACAAAGCTTGCCATTTTTCTTTCTCTATGTCAAATCATTTCCACTATTTCCTTGAATAGGAAGATTTCTTGGCGTTAGTAGTAAGGAGTTGCGCTACCAAATCATAGATACTCTTCCGCTTTGTAATTTACACCCTCTGAAAACCCGCTGGAGATTCAGCTATGAGTCGTACTTCACGGTACATAATAAGAAAGAACTGGCTGAAAACGTCCAATCAAAAAGAAGAGCAGCAAGATCCCAAGACGCTGCACCTGTTGCCAAAAAGAACTCACAGAATCTCCAGCAATCCCTACCTATGAAAAACTGCTGTAAAATCTGTTACCAGAGGCAATTACCTCTTGGCAGATGACTGCTTAGATCCACTGTGATCCCAGTTGGGGTGGTTCTTGTTACAAAGGTCCCTTTGTCAAACGACCTTCAAAAACCATTTTGTTTAAGGCATAAGAAGTGCACTGCACTAAAATTCACCCAGAAGTCAGTCAGAAATGCAGACTCTCCAACACCTAACAAACCACACTTCGCATTTTAACACCCTCCAGGGGATTTAAGTGGTGATAAGAAGATTAGCACTGCTGTGCTATACACCACAACCCTCCAGCAGCCCAACTGCAAGTCTACGAGCCCGCCCAGCATCAGGAAGAGTAGGACACGCGCCGCACTCTGAGAAAGGAACTGGTTACTGCCGGCTTCCCTTTTTCTAGACCACGTCCGAACCCAGTTCCCAGGCGGCGAAACCTCAGTGGTTGTGTTCTGCGAAGGCGCCGTGACCCCCCCATTCCTCGCCCTATCTGCCCCGATCTCTCACCTGCTCCTCCTGCGGGAGCGGCTTGAGCGGAGTTCGAGCCCCGTGGCGGAACACGACCTGCACCATTTTCAATTCAAGCAGCCTGTGGTCGACCGGATGCCGTCCTTCAGACTCCTGCAGTTCAGCCAGGGCCGCCCTCCGCTGATGGAGACAGTACGCCATTGAGGCCAGTACACCCACCGGGGCCCACATGCGCCTGCCGAAGACACCGGCAATCATGGTGGGAACACTTGGGCTTCACTCCTCGGAGATGGGAAAGCACAAGCCGTGCGGGCTCTGCGGACTCCCTCAAGTTCAAGTGCAGGGGTAGGCGGGCATACACATCCAGCTCCCCAACGAGTGAAGACCGTTGCAACTCCGAGTCCTGAGAAGTACCTCCGCGTGGGATCGTGAAGAAAGAAGAAGGTGCGGCGCACACCTTTCAGCAGGAACCCTGGGGGTTTTAACTTATCATCGAGTCGGTTCTAACTTGTTCAGACCCCTTTTAGGGAACTTAAAATTTAAATTACAAGCTTGGCTCTAGCTCTCGAAGGACGGATTAACAGTCCGTAGCTCAACGTGGTAGCCCTTGCTCTACTAACACAGTACAGTCCTGTTGTACTTTTGGATGAGCAAACTCCCACCCATCCAGTGACCGGCCTCAGGAGGACCCGCGCAGAGGAGCGTGGGAAAATGAGTGCCAACGTGGTCTATTGTGTGGCTATGTGAGCTGTGAAAACTACAATTCCCATAAGGCTGCGCGCTGTTTCCCCTGGGAAAGAGAAAACCCTGCCCCCTCAGGCTCAGCCCACCAAAGCCTCCAAGTCCGCTTGACCAAAGCTTTTGGTTTGCGCAAGGCTAGGAGTGGGATTGCATCTTTTGTACTAGTGATTTTACTGCCTGTGGGACTGGGACAGGAGGTGAGGAGGGTAGGAGGAGAGTTTGGAGACAGGGTACTTTCTTGCAGTCCTAGGTGCCAGCGGATTGCTAAGAGCCAGGACGTAACGAGTGATAACCGGTTTCAAAGCATGTCCCTACGTGCTTTTTATGTAATATTCAAGTGGTCTGTCAGACTCTAATCCTGAGTTTCCAGTTCTATGTGTTCCGTGGAAAAAAAGTACAGTCGGCTCCCACAAAGAGTGACAGCTTCAAAAATTCAGCGAGCTGTCGCTATAAATTGGAACAAACTCCACAATTGTGCGTTTGGGTGAGAGTCACCTTTTGATTCCCCTAAAAAATCACGATGGCATGAGATAAGATGGTATATATTCATCACTTTTCGCCAACACCACCATTCAAAGTTATCCATTTTTTTCCTGTCTTCTTTATTAACTTTTACATGCTTGTGGAGCAATTTAAAAATACCACATCCTTGCTCTTTGGCGAGGTCCTTGACAACAAATATGCCCAGTGCCACACACTCACTCTGTCACTCGTTACTATTGTCGTTGTTGTTATGTGCCATCGAGTCCTTTGCGACTCATAGCTACCCTATGTACAACAGCCCTAAAACCTGCTCCATCCTGTGCCAATCTCACTGCCCCTGACACACCCATCCCGATTACCCCAGTCACTGAATCAATCCATCTCAGAGGGTCTTCCCCTCTTGCACCGTCCCTCCACCCTCCCAAGCATGGTGTCCCTCTCCAAGGACCGATCCCTCCTTACAACATGCCCAAAGTATGTCAGACGAAGCCCCAGAATCCTTGCCTCCAAGGAGCAGTCTAATTTCACCCTCTCCAGGACAAACCTGTTTGTTCTCTCAGCAGTCCATGATATGTACATTCAATACTCT